ATATAGCCTCTTCTTACAAAAAGAAATAATAATATTGATGATGATGGTGGTGATGATGATACTACTAATAATAATTATTACAATAACCATTATAACTATACAATAAAAAATAATAATCATAATAAAAATAATAATGAAAAAATTATAATAATAGCTGAATATGAAGCATCTTGTTAAAATATCTGTCAGCAGCCTTACTGTCAAAAGAACATTTAGAAACTGAATTCATACAACTATTAATTACTATTTCCATCCTAATAATAGCTTTCGAAAAGTCTCAACTGCAGACCAAAGCATTTACAACATCAATACATTTTACTCTCATTACTGACCAAGACCTGATGAACTCTCACAACAAACAGACTTGTCTGATATTTAAGAACTAAAAGAAGTCTTCGTTTCTTTTACTCATTATGACCTTTGCCAACAGACTTCTTATTTTCTTCCCGGCCTGCTTAGCCCTGTTTCCCTTAAACTATTCTACCAAACACACACTGATTTCCTGTAGATTCTAACAGAGTTCATTCAAAAATCTAACATGTCTGCTTCTATCAGTGACATCAAAATCTCACTATGTGAAACTCTTAATAGTACATATCACATTAAAAAATACCTGAATGTTGCAAAACCATTCATGGTGTATGTTTATGCCACATTTTCAAAATGTGTCTCAACAATGCGTATTCTATCATATTCATTTAGAAAAAATAATGTTTTCATATTATTTCTATTGAAAAGGTTAAACAAGACACCTAATCCACTCCTAAGTATTAAATGCAAATATCTTAAAAGTTATCAATAATGAAAACACTACGAAACAGAGCAGACAAGCCAGACAGGGGACAATACCGCAGGCTTTGGGATGGAAGTTATATCATCCTTACCAATGTCAGAAGGATTTCATGACAGTGAGAAAATCTTAAGGAACCTTACTGCCAATAAATAAAAATGACTTCCATTATATCCAATCCTGCAGAATTAGATACACATGCAGTTACATAAAAATAACGTTTTTCTTTTTTTTCCTTTTTTTTTCTCTTTTTTTTTTCCCTTAATATTTTAATATAATCAGTACACAAAAACAGTAAACATTTAAAAGTTACAATATGGCTTCTTCCCAAATTTCCTATCGAAACACCACTAAACTTAAAAATGAATTAGGCAAGCTTTCAGACACAAAGCTAAATAGAGACATTTAAGAATTAAATGGCAAAGGAACAGGAGAAAGAGATGATATAAATAGCCTATAATACACCTGAGTTTATACATGTAGGCAGAATGAAAATTTATATATTTGTGGTTAAAATCATACAAAGTTAGCTATACAGTTTCTGTGACATCTAACAGTTTAATTGTACTCTTCATAAATACATAGAAATGTATATATCTTTGAAAAATAATTCAACATCTGTTTATGATTTCTTCAACTTAAATGTATTTTAGTTTAAAAATTTTCTCAAAAGCACAAGACTACTTTGATTTGATAAAAGTGGAAATCAAGTTTTATCTAATAGCTAGACTTCACAGTTTACAAATGTTATATATATATATATGTATATATGTATTGTACCTTCACAATTCATTCTGACCTACAATCTTCTGTTCCTCTCCTGTATCAGACAGGGTCACCAAATTTTAGCTACACACAGGAGTTTTTAAATCAGGATTCTTTTTTTTTTCCTGTAAACAATGCAATAAATAATAATGTAAGCAGCACAAATGCTCTCTAAGGCTTAAGAGTTGATGGTCTTGCCACACCTATCCGAACTCTGAAATTAAACGTGGCCTAAAAAGATAAATACACGTGTGAAATGCTAATAACAATGAAGACAATTATTACAGTCATATGATAATAACAAATAAAATAAAATTAAAAAAAATATATATATAAAATATGTAAAAATCTTTCTGACAGATGGACTTTGGGCATCCTCCGGTTCATCAATATTGAGTGTGCACTAAAATGCCGTTTCAGAATTCGAATGATGTTGTAAAGTAAACAACCAATGTCTGTGGTCATCTCTCTGTCCTGGACTGCCAACAATGTGGTGAATTTAGCTCCTTTACATTTTACAAAACTCTTCTTGACTATACAAGAAATTTTTATTGTACAAAAAACTGTCCCAGTTCACACAAGGCACTATCTTGCTTGTATGAAATGGGAAGAAATTCAGTGATTGAGTTATTGCAGACGTATCAATCACAGATGACTGATACAATATAGAAAAAGTGGTAAAAAAAAATCTCAATATTCAATTTCTGATTTTTACAAAAGATATCAGAAGATGTAAGTACAAATTTAGCAAATGCAAAGCATATGTGGTAAACTCCTACTCTTAACTTCAGAAAAACCCTAAACATGAAGTTTTTTTTTATTTTTTAATATATAAAACAGATATGAATTCTGTCATTTCTAGTTGAATGTACCTACATGTGAGAGTGAGCCAGTCATAGCAAAGAGCTGAAAAGTATTCTGCATAGCATTTAGGTTCTAACAACATATGATTCTAAAGCATCGTACAGAAAGACTGCAGACATTGAAAATGTTACAGCTACTTTTCTTACAAGACAAGCTGCCTTTCACATGACCAATGAACTTCAATAATTTTCATGGAACTGAGAAAGAGAGTGAGATAGAGATAGAGAGAGAGAGAGAACAAAAAACAAACAGAAATAAAGACATAGGAGTAAACAAGCAATAACTATGCAAACCAGAATATAAATTTCACTGACATTACTTTGATATTTTATCCTTATTAAACCCTAAAATGCATGTGGCTCTACCATCAACTGATTTGATTTCATCTCATCTAAAAGCCAAAGGCAATTAATAATGAACTCTGTCAAACGGTTTCCTTATATAAAATGTTCTGCAGACAAATATGAGTTAGAACTACATACTGTTAGAGAATCTGAATGCTCATAAATGGGTCGTCCTCAGAACTGATCTTTTAACAGATGAGAAGAAATTATACATATATATATATAGAAAAAAGAAAAAAGAAAAAAAAAAAAAAAAAATTCCCTACATCTACATGACATGAGATCAAATACATTTATTTCCAAGACTTTTGAGAGCTACCTTCTGTTTTAAATACTACTATAATAATCAATAAATATGAACCAAACACTGGGAACCATATTTTCCAACAACATTTAGCAACCGTGTAACATGTATTTCCAGCATTTTTACATAAAAAAAAAAGAAAAAAAGATAAAGAATAGATAAAATAATCAAAACCAAAAATAACTGAAAGACTGCATCGGCCAGTAACGTTTTTGAAAGGAACCGTGGCATCAAAACAACAAAACGATCCGAGCTTGCTAAAGTGTATTTGAAATATATGATCCCGCAGACAAAGACCCTGTAGGCGTTATGTTTATCTACCAATCAGACGCCCTCAACATACTAACAACTTCAAGCTAATATCTTTATCAATCTAATGAGATCAGGACTTGAGTGTCCCCTGACTGGCTAGTTAAGTGGACGAAGACACACACATAATTAATATTATATACAGACAAGACAGAAGTGACATTGCCCTAAGTCAGAGAATGTTTCATCAATGAAGTGCATTGCTAAGAAGAAGAAAGAGAAGAGATGGAGGAAAAAGAGTAAGTGGAGGAGGAAGAGGAGGAGAAGAAGAAAGAGAAGAGATGGAGGGAAAAGAGCAAGTGGAGGAGGAAGAGGAGGAGAAGGAGGAAGAGGAGGAAGAGGAGGAAGATGAAGAGGAGGAAGAGGAAGAGAAGGAGGAAGAGGAGAAGAAGGAGGAAGAGGAGGAAGACAAAGGATAAATATGCTGATTGCAGAAAAAAAGAGGAAGAGGAAGAAAGGTGATAGAAGAAGAGTAAAGCAGCAGAAGAAAAGGCTAAAAAAATCATCTCAAGCTCAAACAAAGAAAGAAAAAAGAAAAGGACAAAAAAAAAAAAAAAAAGAATCATACAATATTCACAGTAATATAAAAAAAATGTACAGCAAATTTCATTTTGAAAAATGATCTCCAGTTATTCAAGATAAAAGATGTAGTGCTTATTTTTAAGCCTTTACAATTATATCCTTAAGAATCAATATATTTGGACAAATATAATTTCCACTGAGTGCTTTTTGTAAATTTTCTAGGTGCTTTTATATATGTGACTGTAACTGATTTTGTGTGATTTGTGTTTGTGTGTATGTATCAGTATATGAATATGTATATATGTATGTATGTATGTATATGTATGTGTATGTATATGTGCATAAATGTGTATGCATGTGCATTATATGTACATGTATGTGTGTATGTGTGCTTGTGTGCACCTGCATGTGTGTGCAGAGGATACACAAATATGTGTACACAAACTAGTACACACAAACATGCACATGTAAATTCACATATACACACATTTTTTACATATGTATGAAGAAACATACACATGCATAAATACACACTACAGACACACACACATTATCTAATTATGCTGAAAAGTATCAAGATATCCATCCATCATCTATTATTCACTAAGTGGATAAAATTTTCCTGTCGTCACATTCGCATCCTTGTCCATTAGCGCATTCTCCAAATGGAACCATTCGCAAAAAAACTTCCACCTTCCTTTTCTTCAGTCAATGATTTACTCTTCGTTGGGATTGCCGTTTCCAGAACAAATCCGCAGGAAGAATCTTAAGACACTGAAACGCGCACAACTCTCGGTGACTTCTCTGTGGTGGTGTGCTGGCTAATGATTTATGTCTGACAGTCTATGAAGAAAATGTTAATGGTCACTATTATTTCCTATATGGAAGCAGCTTGCTCTCCGCTCTCCTCCTCCTCTGAAAAGTGTTCTACCAAGTGCACTCAACAAAATCTTTTGCATACATAGAATTATGTATTCTTGAATATCCTCAAACCTTTATACATCAATTGGTGATCAATCCTGGTATCACTTTTGAAATGGAGTTCTATTATCGTCATTCTTTTAAGGTCTACTTCCATGATGCTGAAAAAAGGATTTAACTGTACATTTTCATATATTTTATTCCTTTCATACTTTCTTACTTTTTAAAAAATTCCTTGTTATAGTATTTTTTTTATATATTTATGTACATGTATTTTTTTATTTTTTATTTTATTTTATTTTATTTTATTTTTTTTTTGGTTAGACAATCTCACCCTAGCACATCACTTTCACAAGTGGCAGCCACCTCTGTTTGGAAGTCTCATTACATCAAAATTTTACAGAAAACTATGAGGCAAAGTCAACTTCTCAACCTCTGCAGTGAGAAAGAGAAACACACACAAACACCCTAATCAACACAAAGGAATTCCAGTCACAGTACACCGAAGACGCATGTAGCTTGCGTGTGCCAAATTTTCCGCAACGAGCAAGTCTTCTACATCGTGTCCTAGTCTGTGGATGCTGCTGCTCCCCGTCTCCCCATGGCAGGACTTCCCCAGCTGTCTCCCGCAGGTCCTAAGCTGGCCTGAGGTCATACGGGAGTTGGCTGCTGCAGCGCATTTGTGATTCTGGTCCACAATTCCTTCTTGCATGACTTTGACCTTACAAAGAGAATTCAGAAACTAATTAGAAAAGAAAAGAAAAGACAGAAGAAAAAAAAGAAAGAAATGCAAGGAAGAAAAGATACAACACAGATTAATACGAAATACACATCTTTACATACCTTCTCAATGCTTGCAGTAGCTCATTGAACTGGACCATTCCACCTGGTGTCATTTGGAAGGCAGATCGAGCAGCTCGGATGATGGAGATAAACTCATCATATTCAGTTGGGGTTATGTAATACATCTTGAGGTGGGTACATTGGATGAACCTGCATTAGATGGAAACAAGGTCGTCAATAAATGATTAACAGTAGTAACTACTAATTTTTCTAAACATTTTAACATTTTCTATTTCTGCATATGTACATATTCATACGTGTGTGTGTATGTGTGTGTGTGTGTGTGTGTGTGTGTGTGTGTGTGTGTGTGTGTGTGTGTGTGTGTGTGTGTTTTTGCACACGCTCTTGTTCATTCATATGTGCATGTGTGTGAATACGGATAGTATATACATATCCATATACTTATCCTTAGAAATTAAAGAAAAACCGAAAACTCACATCTGTTGACATTTCTGTACAAGTGGTTGCAGAATTGGAGACCGGAGCTGCTGTGAGAAGAGGGCCGGCGAGTGGCGAGCTAGATACTGGGCCGACTCCACAGACAGTTCCTGGAGCACGAAGGGTGAAACCACACTATTCACCGAACACATGCAGAACTGATGAAGATACTGTTGTCCTGCAGGATTAAAGGAATACGTAAATTAAATTAGTATCTAAAGTAATAAATAAATAGGCTAGGGAAGAATGGAAGTGGGAATAAAACTAGATAAGATAAACTACTGGTAACTCTTGGTAACAAGGGTTGTGATATCATTTTGTGGCAAATAATTCCCGATGGCAGGTGACATGTTATGTTATGACTGCCAAGTGTCAATATCTAGGTATGTAATTTTGAAAAGGTAACTGTAATTCTTTAGTAGGGTTAACTTATATCATGTCTGGTAATTTAACATTAAAATAAATATGACATCCTGTTGAAGATGACTCTTATATGCCTTAATGTTGATATTACTTTTGTCATGTCATTTAAAAAATGTCATTCACAAGGCTATTTATAATTAGTCATGACCTATTTCCTACATTTTTCTGGAGGTGTATGATCTGATTGGTCAAAAAGATGAATAAAAAATGGAATGAAGCAAGGGATAATCACTTCTTGCTTTACTGTACCCCTCCACAATGTCCCATACACGCACAACATACACTAAATCCTCGACTAGCCTTTTCTCCTGGAGAGTAATTTGGTAAAAGGAGTAGACCATCCCCAGAAACCCGCAGTGTTCTGGTCAAGTGTACACCTGTTTTCTTATGCTTGTCTGAACTTCTCTCTTACCAACTTATTCTCTCTCTTTTTTGCTTCGGTTGTTCAATTTAACCTGTAACTGCTGGGCCATGCCCATAACCCACATGATAAACTGACTCCCCACACCGGGTACAGCTATAAGCATTGCTAGAGTTGAGCAGAATGTTCTGCTACATGTAATGAACTCCCAGGCCAGGATGGTTGCCAGAAAATCACCAGAGTCAGTGACACCCAGAAATTTTTAAACTGACCATCTTTTAATGTGTGTTTATCATTTTGTAAGAAAGAAAAAAAAAAGGAGTAAAAAAAGAAGAAGAAAAAGAAAAGATACAAATAACAAAATGTTACTTCTAATTATCATTCTTGCACGGAGTTATGGACTACCCAGAGATCATATGGAATCTGTGCAAGGAAAACAGTCTATTACTATTTGGATAAAGCAAATCAAATGACAAATACGAAGATTGGAAAACAGCAACCAAAAAGTAAAAACACTTATGCAAAAAATAATATATAACATTGCAAAGGGGAGGCACAGAGTCTGTCACCGCACACAAGTATTCGTATTCACTTGGCCTACAAGCTACGCATCCCTCAGAGTGGCCGATAGAGTATGCCTAATGCCCAAGAGATGGCAGTGAAGGATCTGGATCAGAAAAACAAATTTGGGAGGCATAGTAACAAAAATAAAAAAGGATATAAATGAAGATGGTGTTGCTAAAGCACATGGTATAAATGACTCAAGTCTGGTTAGTCATGAATTACAATAATCCTGACAGTTCATTGGGTGTTAGATATGGATGAAAATATGCAGCTTCCATCAATATGAATATTTCTCTCTTTCACCTGATGGATTGGGGTGCCTCGTAGATTGCATATAGACAAAACTGGACGTCAGAATTACTTACAAGCCCCTTTCGAAGTTAACTTTCCTTACAAGTACTTTGTGTATCTATAACAAAGTGTTTCTGTCACTCGTCATGTGACAATAATTTCTCATGGCAAGATGTTCCCATCACCGATCCCTCAGCCAAACCCTGCCTTTGCAGTCATGACTCATGGACAGTACATTCTAGACTCATTTATCAATGGAAATAATGCAAAAGCCCCATCCTAAATCCCAAATGAGTCTCATCACCCTCCAAGAGGTTTGAGCACTTGTGGCAAGTCTTTCTGTCACCTTGGCTTTCAAATGCTCATGACAGCAAGTTCACATTGGATCATAGGGGTTAATATAAAAAAGACAAAATATACATGTGGAATTCTTAAAACCCTTATGCATGGATATTATGGAAGTTATTAATAACTATCTGATACTTACTGAGTAAAAATGGGGTTTTACTTTCTCATTTCCAAATTCATTGTGCTATATCATGATATATAAATGAAAATATAGTGGCATGCCTTTGAGTAATCTTATTCCAGTACTGGTGATTGACATTTAATCTTGTTTTAATGAACCAAGACTAAATGAACATTGGCAAAAATACGTCATATGCATTCAAGCATCTCCAAGTTGTGTGCCATAAACACTTGTTCTTGTGTGGATCTGGGCACAGCAGACCTTAAGGTGAAGCTTTATTTTTCTCTATAATGCTAGGAAAGTGTATATGCCACAGACAGATGTGCACAGACTGAGGCAAATATGTGCTCCCTGAGCTTCTCATCTTTATCTTGAGCAGCCAACACTGAGCAAACCCTGACATGTGACTCAATTCTGGGAGAGAAGCTGTCAACTTATGGTTATGAATGAATTCCCTACTCTTTGTCAACTATAAAACTAATTAAGCTTTTCCACTGACTGGTTTCCATAAAATCTGCAAATATGGAAAAAGTTTAAAAGTAATGTGTATAAAACCATCGGAAATACATTTAATGAAACTTCAAATAATCCTGTGAAAACAGAGATTTCTTAAAGAATTACACATTGGGCTAACTCATGTAACAGGCAGACCATGGTGAGAAAAACATTGTGGGAAGTCACAGGAACCTGACTATCGCTCTGGTAGGGAACTTCAGCACACCTGCCCTCACTCATCTTTACTGAAAATTCACTTGTGGCTAAGGTACCTTTTTTTTCAAGCTGATGATTGCAAAGAATATAACATTAAATTTCATTGGAGTATTTCAGTCACAACAGTTTGAAGAAAGTAGATTTGTGCTTTTGATTTGAAACCTTACATGATGTTATGTATATATATCATTTCTTTATATAATATTACCTATATATTTATTTAGCTTCCTTCACAAGAAATGGGAAGGTTTTCAAAACCTAGAAATAACACTGCCTCATTTGTGTCTGGAAACCCCATTAGATTTCCTTGCTATTTTACTTTTAACTATTAAGTTATGTCTGCACTCTGAATACCACAACTTATTAAGAGTTTTACTGAAAGCATTTTTGCATCCCATTTCTGACATGAAAATGTCCTTATGTAGCCACATGTTTGGTGGGAATAACTAGCTCTGTCTGTGCATGTTCAGGACACTACCATTGCACATGCTCATCAGAGACCCAGATTAAATTTCAGTATGGTATACACTTTTGTGTCAGAAAATGCTCTATATATAACTACTATCAATAATGCAAGGAAAAAGAAAAATAAGGTGTTCTTTCTCTTGAAGACGAAAAGAACTGATTACTTACCAAGCTTCTTGGCCACTCCCAGAAGCCACTTGACATCCTCTCCATAGGGTGGGTTTCTGGCATACTTTGCCTGTGGTCTGTCATCATGGACCCTCCTGCCCAGAGTTTCCAGTGCCAACATACCCACACGATATGTGCTCAACAAGTAATTCATAGATCCATTATTGTTCACCTGCTGGCCACCAACAAGTCCAGGAACCTAAAAATGATCAAACCATCATTTAGGTTTCCAACACTACAAAATTTATACATGATTTTCCATGAATTTCAAGACAAAAGAAAAACAGGACACAGACACGTAAACACACAGCCACAAAAAAATACCTGTTGCTGTGGTTGTGAGGTAGGTGGTGGAGGCAGCTGGGGCTGATGTGGGGAAGGTTGGACCATGTGAGGGCCCTGGGCTCTAACCCATGAGAGGAGGGCTGTGGGCTGAGCTCCTATGAAACCTGCTGTTGATACGCCTCCACTTCCAACCGCATTGGAGTATGGCAGCGGATAGAATCCCTGTAGTGGACACTTATTAGAGGGATTTATAGGAACTCTGGTATGCAATGACTGATTACAAAGATTTAAAGAGTTTACATAAACTGATTCAAGGGATTTACTGATTTTTCTTTACTCCATGGCAGCATGATGTTATGGTTCAAATTCATATAAAAAAGGAACTACAACCAATGTGTGTGACTGACAGTGTCACTGCATCATAAGAACACGAAAGTCTTCCATTTCCATGCTTTTCTACACACCTTTTACTGTCACAAATCTGACACAACCTTGTTCATAACTTTACCTGCTGTGGAGGTGTGTTGCCCTGTATTAGAGGAGGCTGCTGTGGTAAGGGTGGAGGTCCTGCACCTAAGGGAGGAGGCTGTGGTCCTAGATTCTGTTGTCCTCCTGGGAGACCACCTCCCATGCCCCCTGCTCCTGGCAGAGTACCCTGGAAACACACATAAAGGAAGTGAGGTTGGGGCATAGATAACTTGAGGACCTCTTCTACACCTGTACTGGTCACATTCAGGAGGTTTGCGTTTGGTTATGACATTGAAATAATAATTTAGATTTGACATTATCCACTTATACTGCATGGACAATCTCTTTGCAGGATTTACTTGATAACTTCCTTATCCAAGAAACATGCACAGGGAGAAAATAACTTCTACATTCTTATCATAAGCCTGTATGCATAACTAAGGTGTGGTGTGTGATGTTTGGCATATTTCTGTCTGTCTGTCCCTAAATATGTGTGTGTACGTGCATGTCTGTGTTTGGTGTGATGTAATGATGGTTATTTTTCTAACTTTTTATTCTGTGTATTTTTTTGGGTATGTGTGCATGTAGAGTGTAGGTTTGAGCTCTTGCAACTGTATGTGCATATATACAAGAATATATGTTTGTGCGCTTATGCAAGCAGCTGTGTCTAACTCATTTCCCACAAAAATCATCCATCTCATAAGAATGACATGAATAAAATAATACAAACAGGAGGTGAAGAAATGGAAAGCAGTCAGACAAAAGGCAAAGATATGCCACAATACCTACAACACTGCTCTTTGCAAATTACGGCTTCCACAGCTAACAACAAAATCCAAACCCAAAACAACTCAATTCAATAAATCTAGACTTGAGAAGTTCTATCTATGAACTTCATGTCAAGAAGATACAAGATGTATATCTGAACCAATACAGAATTGTAGGGGAAAAAAATCTTAGGAATACACAGATTTCACTGTGAACAGGCAATCCTTTTCAAATCACCAGGCACTGACTTAAACAAGAACAAGTACCACAAGGCAACAGTTGGATGGCCTGGAAAGACTGAAATACCATAAAAACAGCTTGATCTAAGTTTAGAAATACCAACCGGTTCATTCACCGACATACTCAATCATATGCCTGAAGCAAGTATGGAATCTTCCTATCAAGTAGCACTGAAGATGAAGTCTTATGAACAGACCACACACATAACCACACAGAAACAATTTAGATTACGTAAAAAAAACACACTGGAAAAAAATTTACACGGAAAAATAGGAATATCCGAGCTTAAAATATAAATGAATACAAATCTTGAATCATTAAAAAACAATTTATTAATACAGGAACCAGCTTACTGCTCTGTTCTGGCTAACAATGACACTAAAAATCAAGATACTAATCTGATATTACTATCCTATCTGTTCACTCACTCACTCACTCACAACAAGTGCAGACAACTTAACAGCTCTTGAGTCCACCTTCTGTCCATGAAGATTTGCAATCAGCTCGCTCATAATATGACACAAGGCAAATACTGGTACTAAGTCATATCACACATTGCTGCAGATACTAAGAGCACTGTAGTCTATACAAGAACATTAACTAAGTAAAGCCTAACCAACCACCATCCCTTTTTTGGGCAACATGAGTGAGAATTTCTGAAGAGAATGACAGAGTCACCTACTTTTGAGAACCTTGGGGTGGCATCCAGGATCTGCCTTATGCTGTAATGACGTGAGGCGGCCAAATCGTGGATGGATTTTGAAGTCAAAATTTTCTGTTTGGAATTAAAGCTTGGTAGTGGAATTCAGTGGGGACAAGTTAAGAAAACACAATGCCTTATGCTACTTGTATGTGTTGACCTAAAAAAAGTAACAACTGAAGTTAATCACAAAAAAAAAAAGTAAAATTAGTATCAAATTCACAGATATAAGTTTGGTTCTCAAAAACAAGAAAAACGCTCATAGGTTATAAGTGTCTTCCACTTCCTTGCTTCTAAATCCACACTTCTAGACACCTGGCCTGGGGCATCACTGTACACACAAGATCTGGCTTACCCCATTCAAGGCCCAATTCCAGATCCTTCTGAATTTCCCTACAAATGCCTTTAGAGGTAGGAGAGGATGTCCTACACACAGTAAAATCTAAAATCTTCCCGGGGCAGTATGCCTTTAGACTTCAAGCATTATCCACACATGATTTACATTTGACCTCTAATGCTGTTAAAGAGATCCCACACCTCCTAAAAGATTGGGGACTAAATGAGCCTAAGCCATCACCAACTCCCATTTCCTATCGTCATTACCAGTTCTACACTTGGATCAGGATGTACCCATGACATACCAAGTTTTTTGTATGTAGCATGGCTATTCTAAATACATTTTGAAAGAATGCAGGTCACATCTACAAAATGCTCAGTATTAAAAAAAAAAAAAAAAAAAAAAAAATGGCAGGGGGACTTGGAAGACAATAGGCTGCCATGCAAGCTATATTCTACGCAACTCATCAAACTTACGGAACACTGGAACACAGCAAGGGACACAATGCGCATAATCTTTACTGAACAAAATTTGATTCCTTGAAAGTAAAAATGTCCAACTTTGGGCATTGTCAACTATTACAGTCTACACAGAAAAGATGGGGTTCAAATCTTAAAATGCTGAACAAGCTACTTCCAATCAATACATGTCTTAATAACAACTAGTCACTCTTGAAGCAGTAAGACTACCAGTAAACTAACTCGGCATACAATGGCAAATTAAAAAAGGAAGAACAAAACTATATTAAAACCCTTGATATCTCACCTGGGGTAGAGTTGAGGGTATAGACACTGGAGGGAAGTACTGCATGGAAGGAGGAGGCATGAGGGGCTGAGAGACTCCCTGTGCCCCACTGAAAGGTACACCTGGTGGCTGGATATACATCTGTTGAGGAATGCAACAATTATTTCACATGCTCCTGTCACAAATGGCAAAGACACAAACTGTTCACACAAAGTAAGAGGCAGGAGTATCTACACAAGTAAGACTGAGAGGACGACATTCACCGGCATGGGCATTTGTGGGTTGATGCATGATACACTTGTTGGCAAGCCCTGAATGTAATTATATCCCAGCTGATATGGAATGCCTGTGAGGGCATATGGCACCGAAGAAGGTGGGGCTGCAACTGGATAGCCTGCAACACCAGGCAGTGCACCTGCACCACCATTTCCATTCATCCCAACTGAAACCTGTAACAATACAACAATTATGAAAACAGTCGTCAAGAGAACAAGTGACTAAGTTTTCAGATACTAAAAATCTTAATGAGTATCACGAAAAGCAGAGATATGTTCTGGGACAAGATACAAGCAAACTTACTGGAGGATGCAACCCAGGCTGAGACTGGGCATCCATTGGAGGAATAGGTGGCTGTTGCTGTTGCTGGTTTGGTGGTGTGGGTGGATTTAGTGGTGGAGGTGGAGGAAGTGGGAGATTGTGTGGGGCACCAGGATCTTCAAATGGGATATCTCCGGCATGCTGGCCACCTGAAGTCCTTGCTTGATGACGGGCCTGGTGCCTTGTCCGGGCCTCATAAAGTTCATACCAGCGTCGTGCCACAGAGAACAGGACTTCAGGGTACACACCACCGCCTTTAGCTGCGCCCTCGACAGCAAAGCAAGCACTTTCAAGCATTTCATCGCTCTGCTCCTTACACTGAAAAGAAATTAAAAATAACTTCAGACATCACTTCCTATAATTCACGTACTGATGACATTCATAGAGAACTTATGTACTTTTTATCATCAACACAATTATATGTCTGATAAACAGACATATTCCTGTGTTGCTCACCTGTATGATAGCTCTCTGAATCTCATTAGGGTTCAGAGCATGAGCATGAGGCAGGCATGACAAGGCCAATTTTGCTGCAGCTTTTATTGTTGCAGCATCACGACCTCTTGATGCCCGGTCTGCTATTGATGCAGCTTCTTGTGGAGTTAGATGGCCCTCCCAAGTATCAATAAGAAATGAAACTGCTGGCGACCCAATTTCCACAGCTTGGCCTGTGTAAAAGTAAAAGTAAAAAAAAAAAAAATGATGATTACTGCACTTAAAAATATTACATCTCACCCTCACATATATGCATCACTTTTCATACTTGAAGGTCAAAACTAGAAAAAAAGGAAGACATTCTTCTTACTTGTAATCCACGAAACATGTGAGGAATATGTTCTTGAGAGCCAGTTGGGGCTGACGCAATTATGAAGGCCAAGGGCATAGAGGCCAATCTGGAATGCGCACATGTGGAGTGGTCGATGTGGCCCTCTATGGTTCTGTGAACTGCTTGGCTGCAACATAAATAATAATAGTTAAGATTTGCATAAAAACAATATCTTAAAAAAAGTCAATGAAATCAATGAAACAATAATCTACAAAATAATACAAGATTATAGCAACTGTTTTGATACAATGAAGAGAGAGAGAGAGAGAGAGAGAAAGAGAGAGAGAGAGAGAGAGAGAGAGAGAGAGAGAGAGAGAGAGAGAGAGAGAGAGAGAGAGAGAGAGAGAGAAAGAAGAAAAAGATTTCTTTTCTTGATACTTCACACACAAAAATATCTACTACTCACCTGAGTAAACAGCGATGTGCTAATATTTCCCCCAGCTCGGTTCAGCACAGTCTTGGCCAACTCGAACATGAAATAAG